GTCTAACCATCTTTTGGCAGAAGCATTCAACAGAACAAAATATGTGGTGCATTTAGGATGTCGTCCTCTTGTGCATGCTGCCACTGTTAAGGTCATCAGACTCACAGTGACTTTCAGCAATCCATTGCATAGGTAATCATCCTTTTTGGCCTGTCCAATGCATAGGTAATCGTCCTCTTTGGCCTTTCCAACGCATAGGTAATCATCTTCTTTGGCCCCTTTCTTTTGGGAATCCTTGAATTCCTGTTGTTGAGCCTCAATTTTCACTGAGGGCCAGTCATCAACTGTTTAAGTGTTCAATTATCAATAAGCCGAAGTCTGTAGAAGGCCATAATGACCCTGCTTTAAGTGGTTCGCTGCTCCCACAGCTCACCACACTGTCGCTGCCTCCGCCGCCATCTTGGATCTCCTTCTTACGTTTTTTTTTAAAAAAATATTTTCGTAGGGCGCTCTGGTAGCCTAGTAGCAAAGAACTGCCCTGCAATCCCAGAGATGTGCAGTTCAAATCCACCAGATGCTCTACGGGAAAAGGAGGGGCAATCTCCTCCTATACCAGTTAGATCCGATTTGATGGTATTCACACCAAAAAATCATAAAATAAAATAAAAACATTTTGTTCTTTCTCTCTTGCCAGTGTTTTAGAGCGCTCTGCTGCAAGGGACCACCACCTGCACGACCAGAGTATGACCTGGTTTGCATAGGCCTCACAGGTTCTGGCAAGACCAGTCTGCTGTCCAAGCTGTGCAGTGAGAGCCCCGAGAACGTCGTGTCGACCACAGGTGGGTACCAGGCCCAAGCTCCATCCCTTTCTCTTTTTCATCTCCAAGACATTCTAGTTTCTTCTTTCTGCTTTCTCCTCCCATCCTTTCTACCATCTCCTTACCTCCTGCCTATTTTTGGCTTTAGCCAGTTTATTTATTTTCATCGTTAATATCATATTTTCTCTGGGGGGCTATGGTTTAAGAGAGTTAAATGGCTGTGTTCTGAATCCCCCTGGCTGAATAAAATCAGCCTCAGGAAGAATCCTGAGTCAATCCTCTGTTACTGAGGCCAAATAATGGCTCTCTGGCCCAGTGAATATCACTCTAGCTTACTTTGGTTGGTCATTTGCTGTACAGAGGTAACTCATGGTTGCTGTGAGCTAATCACTGTGACACTGATGTGTCAAATGAGATAATGGTTACCCATGGTGGGCAGTGTTTGGTGGGGCTTCCTGATTAAAACGAGCTTGGAAGCAGGAGTGGCATCTACTTCTGAAATAGTATGCCTCCAGAAACTCTGTGAACATGAAGAAACAAAGTTATACAGGTGTTCAAGTCTTTCATTCATAGGGTCGCTATTAATTGTCTACACCTCAATGGCACCTAACAACAACAACAACAACAACATATTAACGGTGTCAGAGGCGTGGTCTGAACCAGTTTTTACCTAGAGGATAGTCAGGTAGAGAAGGTTCATCAAGTTACAGTGCTGTTTCCTAAAATGGCTAAAGAAAGTCTAGAGCATTTGTTTTTAGTCAGCTGTGATATTTTCTCCCAGTGAACATGTGATGTATCTGTACATTTTTTCGGTTAGAACAACTAAGGAGAGGATTGCTACCTGAATCTATATGGTGAACAGCTAGTTACACCGTTACAAATTGTACAGTGTACAAGGCAACTGCACAACAGAGAGTTGCTTCAGCTGTAATGTTAGTAGTTGAGAAAAGCTGACGTAGGGCTTTGGTTGAAGCTCTGATGGTCTAGTGGTGAGGAGTCGTGCTGCCAACCCAGAGGCAGGTGGTTTGAACCTACCGCTGCTCCATGGGAGAAAGATGAGCAGTTACCTCATACCTCATGATCTGTAGCTTCTAGAAGTGATTTTTAGAAGCGATTTATAGCTTCTTAAAACCTACTAAAGGGGCAGCTATGAGTTTTGCAACATTATAGCAATAAGTTTTGACGGCCTTGGTTACTTCCTCAACATGAAGAGGCCAAAGCCTTAAAGTTGAATCCAACTCATATCTAATCCTCCAGTGTGTTTTCAGAGATGGTAAATTGCACAGGCAAAAATTACCTCTCTCTCTCCTGTGGAGCCACTGGGGGCTGCTCAAACTGCCTTTGGGTTAGGCATACAGTTCGCTGCAGACTATGCCATTAGGGCTCCCTGTGCTAAATGAACTAAGATGAAAGGACAAATATTATATGATATCACTTCCATGAAAAATCAAGAATGAACAAATGTATAGACACCAAAACCTGTAAGTGATTACCAGAGGCAGGAAGGAAGAGGATTCATTACTCAGAAAGCATTGAGTTTCTGTTTATGGTGACCAGAGCTTGGCAGTGGATATTAATGGTATCTATTAGAACAGCTGATGTCACTAAATTTTACCCAGGAAAAATGTCAATTTGTAAATACTGTATTTTATGCATTTAAAAGCCATTTTTTAAAAAGCAAGTTCTTTGAGGAAATAAAGAAAATTGATGAAATGATAATGAAATCAAATAGAAAAAAAATGAAAGAAGATACAAATAATCAGTATTAGGAATAAGAGAAATGCTATAGGGATTGAGTCCATAAATGTTAAACAGATAGTATGAATACTATAAACAAATTTATTCTAATAAATTCATTAACTTAGATAAAATGGATAAATTCTTTGAAAGCAGAACTACAGGAATTCACTTAAAAGGAAATATGGAGACTGGATAGGCCTTTATATATTGTGGTGGTGGTCATTTCCTTGATGTTGGAACCAACTCATAGCTGACCCTCCAGCAGATTTTCAGAGCCAATAAATTTTATGGGAGGAGATTGCCCAGCTTTTTCCCATAGAGTAGCCTCTGAACTCAAACTGCCTGTCTTTGACTTGGCTGTATAACTCCTTACCCATTGTTCTATCATTGAAATTGTGGTTAAAAAACTGTTTTTCAAAGAAAGCTCCAAGTCCATGTGGCTTCTCTTGTAAATTCTACCATAGAAATACAATATTTTCTAGAAAAGAGGAAGGAAAAACTCTCAAAATACCTCTTTTAAGATAGTGTCCTGATAACAACTATACAAAAACATTACCAGAAAAATTGTACACTGATAGCTTTCATGGATATGGTTTTTATTATGTGCCATTGAGATGGAACTGATTCCTAGCTGACCCGCTAGCAGATTTTCACAGACTGTAAAGTACACAGGAGGAGATTGCCCACCTTTCTTCTGCAGGACAACTGGTCGCTTCGAACCATCTGTCTTTGGGTTGTCAGTACAACTCCTTACCTACTTGGCAACCGTAGCTCCCTTTCATGAATATGGATGTAAGATTTCTGAATTAAAATCTAGCAATTCAAACCCAACATACTATATTGATAGGCTATATTATATACTATATTATATATATTATATATAATATCTCATACTTTGGACATATTGCTAGTGGAGGCTATTCCTTGGAAAGGGACATCATAATTAGAAATATAGAGTCTGTGAAAGAGAGGAAGAACCCCTACAAGATGGATTGATACGGTGACTATAGAAATAGGCTCAAGTGTGTCAGAGATAATGAGGATGGCATAGGATAGGACAGGGTTCAGGTCTGTGTTCATAGGATTGCTATGAGTTGAACTTGACAGCACCTAACAACAACAACTACTATCCTGAGCAGATGGACTTCATGCCAGGGAAGGAAAGTTGCTATTCTGAGTTAAATCATATCTTTCACCCATTGCTTGTACCCAGAACTTTAGGATGTGATCTTATTTAAATGTATGTGTCAATAGTCAAGAATCTCAAGATTAAATCATCTTGATTTTGAGTGGACCCTTTATTTAATTACCAGTATCAGGATTGGGGGAAGCCTCATCAACAACCTACTTTATGCAGACAATACAACCTTGCTTGCTGAAAGTGAGGAGGATCTGAAGTACATGCTGCAGAAGGTCAAGGACTGTAGTCGACACCATGATAGATGAAGAAGAGATTGAGGTTGTTAACAGTTACAGCTTGCTTGGCTCCACAGTCAACACTCTTAGAATCAGTAATCAGGAAATCAAAAGATGAATTGCACTGGGAAAATCTGCTGTCAGAGACCTCAACAGAGTACTAAGAAGCACCATTGTCAGTCTAGAGACTAAGGTGTGCCTTATCCAGGCCATGATCATCACAGTTACTTGCTATGTAATGCTTGCTATGCAAATATTATTTTACTAATTTTTATTAAATTACTTGCTATGCTATGTATTATCAAACAATATTATTAATATCACATGCAAGCAAGAATGTGCTGAAAATTATCCAAAAACATTTGGAACAATATGCCAGATGTGCAGGCTGGATTTAGAAGAGAGGCCGTGGTACTAGGGATATTATAGCTAATGTTAGATGGATCTTGGCAGAAAGCAGAGAATACCAGAAGAATGTCTATCTGTGTTTCATTGACTATGCAAAGGCTTTTGACTGTGTGGATCACAACAAGCTATGGCTGACTCTGAGAAGAATAGGAATCCCAGAACACTTGATTGTGCTAATGCGAAACCTATACTTGGACCAAGAGGCAGTCGTCAGAACAGAGCAAGGAGACACTACATGGTTCAAAATCAAGAAGGGGGTCCATCAGGGATGTATTCTGTCTCCATACCTTTTCAATCTGTATGCAGAACAGATCATCCGAGATGCTGCGCTATACGAAGAGGAATGTGGCATCAGGATTGGTGGAAGAATTATCAACAACCTGCGTTATGCAGATGATACAACCCTGCTTGCTGAAACTGAGGAGGACCTGAAGCGCTTGCTGCAGAAGGTCAAAGACTGCAGCCTCCAATATGGACATCAAGAAAATGAAGATTCTCACCACTGGGCCAATTGGCAGCATCAGTATGGATAGTGAAGAGATTGAGATAGTTAACAGTTTTAGTTTACTTGGTTCCACAGTCAACACTCTCGGTAACAGCAGCCAGGAAATCAAGAGATGAATTGCATTGGTAAAGTCAGCTGTGAGGGACCTCTCCCGAGTACTGAAGAGCAACAAAATCAGATTGGAGACTAAGGTGTGCCTGATCCGGGCTATAGTCTTCGCAATTACATGCTATGTATCAGAGAGTTGGACAGTGAATAGGGTTGATAGAAAGAGAATTGATGCCTTTAACTGTGGTGCAGGAAAAGAGTGTTGAATATACCATGGACTGCTAGGAGAACAAACAGGTTTGTCCTGGAGAAGGTGAAGCCAGAATGCTCCTTGGAGTTAAGGATTCTGAAGCTTTGTCTGACATACTTTGGGCATGTTGCAAGGAGGGACTGGTGCTTGGAGAGAGACATCATGTTTGGCAGAGTGGAAGGGCGGCGAAGGAGAGGATGACCTTTGATGACACAGATTGATTCTGTGGCTGGAGCGGTGGGAATAAGTGCATTTGAGATGGCTAGGTTGGCATAGGATAGAACAGCATTTAGAGCTCTTGTACATAGGGTCACTATGAGTCGCAAGTGACTCGATGACACAGAACAACAACAACAACAGCAACATGTTGTCCAGAGAGCTGGGCAATGACTAAGGATGACAGAAGAAGGATCAGTGCCTTTGAGTTGTTGTGCTGGAGGAGTCTTGAACATACCATGTACCACCAAGAAAACATATTGGTCTGTCTTAGAGAGGGTGAAACCAAGTTTCTCTTTGAAGGTAGAATTTTGAAGCTTCGTCTCACATATTTGGGGCATGTGACCAGTAGGGACCAGTTTTTGAAGGACATCATGCTTGAAAGGGTGGAGGGACAGTGCAGGAGAAGATGATAAGATACATTTATACAGTAACTGC